ATCAGTGGCATTCCTATACACCAACAACAAGACAGAAGACAGACAAATTAAGGAGTCAATCCCATTTACAATTACAGCCAAAACCATAAGATACCTAGGAATAAATCTAACCAAAGAGGCAAAGGATCTGTACTCAGGTAACTACAAAATACTCATGAAAGAAATTGAGGAAGACACACAGAAATGGAAAAACGTTCCATGCTCATGGATTGGAGGAACAAACATTGTGAAGATGTCAACGCTACCTGGAGCAATCACACATTCAATGCAATCCCCATCAAAATACCATCCACTTTTTTCAAAGAAATGGAACAAAGAATCCTAAAATTTGTATGGAACCAGAAGAGACCCTGAATAGCCAGAGGAAGGCTGGAAAAAAAAGGCAAAGCTGGAGGCATCACAATTCCGGACTTCCAGCTCTATTACAAAGCTGTCATCATCAAGGCAGTATGGCAGACACATAGATCAATGGAACAGAATCGAGAGCCCAGAAATGGACCCTCAACTCTATGGTCAACTCATCTTTGACAAAGCAGGAAAGAATGTCCAATGGAAAAAAGACAGCCTCTTCAACAAATGGTGTTGCGAATATTGGACAGACACATGCAGAAGAATGAAACTGGACCATTTCCTTACACCACACACAAAAACAGACTCCAAATGGTTGAAAGACCTAAACGTGAGACAGGAGTCCATCAAAATCCTAAAGGAGAACACAGGCTGCAACCTCTTCGACCTCAGCCGCAGCAACTTCTTCCTAGAAACATCGCCAAAGGCAAGGGAAGCAAGGGCAAAAATGAACTCTTGGGATTTCATCAAGATAAAAAGCTTTTGCACAGCAAAAGAAACAGTCCACAAAACCAAAAGACAACCGACAGAATGGGAGAAGGTATTTGCAAATGACATATTAGATAAAGGGCTAGTATCCAAAATCTATCAAGAACTTATCAAACTCAACACCCAAAGAACAAAGAATCCAATCAAGAAATGGGCAGAAGACATGAACAGACATTTTTCCAAAGAAGACATCCAAATGGCCAACAGACACATGAAAAAGTGCTCAACATCGCTCGGCATCAGGGAAAGCCAAATCAAACCCTCAATGAGATACCACCTCACACCCGTCAGAATGGCTAAAATTAACAAATCAGGAAACGATAGATGTTGGCGGGGATGCGGAGAAAGGGGAACCCTCCTACACTGGTGGTGGGAATGCAAGCTGGTGCAACCACTCCAGAAAACAGTATGGAGGTTCCTCAAAAAGTTGAAAACAGAGCTACCACAGGATCCAGCAATTGCACTACTGGGTATTTACCCCAAAGATACAAATGTAGGGATCCAAAGGGGTACGTGCTCCCCAATGGTTACAGCAGCAATGTCCACAATAGCCAAACTGTGGAAAGAGCCAAGATGTCCATCAACAGACGAATGGATAAAGAAGATGTGGTATATATACACAATGGAATATTATGCAGCCATCAAAAGGAATGAGATCTTGCCATTTGCAACGACGTGGATGGAACTGGAGGGTGTTCTGCTGAGCGAAATAAGTCAATCAGAGAAAGACATGTATCATATGACCTCACTGATATGAGGAATTCTTAATCTCAGGAAACAAACTGAGGGTTGCTGGAGTGGGGTGGGGGGATGGGATGGCTGGGTGATAGACATTGGGGAGGGTATGTGCTATGGTGAGCGCTGTGAATTGTGCAAGACTGTTGAATCACAGATCTGTACTTCTGAAACAAATAATGCAATATATGTTAAGAAAAAAATAAAAGAAGAAGATAGCAGGAGGGGGAAGAATGAAGCGGGGGAATCGGAGGGGGAGACGAACCATGAGAGACTATGGACTCTGAAAAACAAACTGAGGGTTCTAGAGGGGAGGGGTGGGAGGATGGGTTAGCCCAGTGATGCGTATTAAAGAGGGCACGTTCTGCATGGAGCACTGGGTGTTATGCACAAACAATGAATCATGGAACAGTACACCAAAACAAATTATGTAATATGTGGTGATTAACATAACAATTAAAAATTTTTTTAAAAAGGATGATGATAGCTATAGGTTTTTCATACATGCCCTCTAATAATGAGAGAGAAAAAAATTAAAGGCATCCAGATTGGATAGTGAAAAAAAAATGCTGTTTGTTATTGACATGTTCTTGTATTTCAAAGACCCTAAGGAATCCAGATAAACATGCGCCCACACAAAAAGTCCCTACTAGAATTAATAAATGAATTCAGGAAGGTTGCAGGTTACAAGATTAATATATGAAAATCAATTGCATTTCAATCTATTTAATTAAGAAGAAACCAAATTCCATTCACTTAGGAACAGCAAAGTAAAACAATTTATATCGAGTACTGGAAGATCTAAATAAATGGAAAGACATACCACACCTGTGCACTGGAAGATGGCAAACATCCCGCACTGATTTAGAGATTCAATGTGATCTCTATCAAAATCCAAGGAGAGCATTTTGGGGAGGCAGAAATTAACAAACCGATACTAAAATGAAACGCAAATGCAAAGAATGCAGAAGTGCTAAACAACTATGAAAAAGAATAAAGTTGGAGGAATAACACTTCTCGTTTTCAAAACTTCCTATGAAGCTTTAGTAAGTATCTTAAGACTATGAAGTACAGACATACAAATCAATGAACAAATTCAGAGTCCTGTAATAAACTCATATTTATTCCACTGATTTCTGAAAAACATGCCAAGGCAATTCAATGGAGAAATGGTAGATACTCTTTTCAACAAAATAGGGCTAGAACCAAAGGGATGGTCTACACACACAAAGACAAATTTAGATCTTTACCATACAGAAAGCTTAACTCAAAATAAATCACAGACCTAAATGTAAAAGCTAAGGCTACAGTATTTCTAGAAGACAAACAGAAAATTTTCATGACTTCGGGATAGACGAAGATTTCTCAGATGCAACACCAAAAACATAAACAAGGGAAGAAAAAAGTGATAAACTAGACTCCGTCAAAATTAAAAACTTTCAGCTCTTTCTGTCATCTTGCAACCTGTAGAGGCCTGCTGGGAACAGGACTCCTAAAATGACAAATATGTCTGGAAGGCTGTGGTCCAGGGCCATTTTTGCTGGCTCTAAGGGAGGTCTCCAGAATTAGAGGGAGCAGCACACAGCTCTTCTTTAAATTGAAGATGTTTATGCTCGAAATGAAACTGAACTCTTATCTAGACAAGAGATGGGCTTCTATGTACAAAGCAAAGAACAATACATTGACTCTGGGTGGCAAACTGTACAAAACCAGAGTAATCTGGGGGAAAGTAACTCATGCTCATGGAAACAGTAGCATGGTTTGTGCCAAATTCCCAAGCAACCTTCCTGCTAAAGCCATCTGTAACAGAATCTGTGATACTGTACCCCTCAAGGATTTCAACTTACTGAAGAGAAAATAAAAGTGTACCAAAAAAAAAAGAAACTTCTGTATGCAACAACAATCCAGACTGAGAGAAAATATCTGCAAATCACACATCTAATAAAGGATTTCTATCCAGAATATATAAAGAACTCTTACAACTCAATAGTAAAACAACCCAATTAAAAATGGGCAAAAGATTTAAATATTTCATGAAAAAAGATACATGAACAGCTAGTAAGTTCATGAAAAATGCTCAACATCATTACTCATTATGGGAATGATGGAAAATTAAATGCAAATTAAATGGAAATGCAAATTAAAACCACAATAAGACACTACCTCATACCCACTAAAATGGGTACATTCAAAACGCCTGACAATAACAAGTATCAAGAGCATGTGGAGACAGGGTGCCTGGTGGCTCAGTCGGTTAGGTGTCTGCCTTCAGCTCAGGTCATGATTCCAGGGTCCTAGAATGGAGTACCTCACTTCCCCTTCTCCCTCTCCCTCTGCTGCTTCCCCTGCTTGTGCACACTCTCTCTCTCTCTCAAATAAAATCTTTAAAAAATAAATAAATAAGAGCCATGTGGAGAAACTGGAACCCTCATATGTTAGTGGTAAGAATATAAAACAACACTGCTACTTTGGAGAAATTTGGCAGTTTTTCTTAAATAGTTAAATTCACCATATTGCCTCAGAAATTCTATTCTTAGGTATTTACCCAAGAAAAATAAAAACAAAACTCACACAAAGAGTTATATGCAAATGTTCCTAACCGTAGTGGTCATACTAGCCAAAAGTTAGAAATAATTCAAATGTACACCAACTGGTGAATGGCTAAAAAATTGTGGTACATCCATACAATGGACAACTGTTCAGCAATAAAAAGGAAAAAACTACTGATACGTTTCAACATGAAAGAACCTTGAACACATTATGCTAAGTGAAAGAAGCCAGATGCAAAAGACTACACATTATGAGATTCTACTTACATGAAATGTTCAGAAAAGGTAAATCTATATATACAGACAGACAAGAGATTAGAGGGTCTCTGAAGCCGAGGACAGCAGCAGGGACAGGCTGCAAATACACACAGCATATCTTTTTAAAGGATTATGAAAGTGTTCTAAAACTAGATTGTGGTGATGGTGCAAAACTTTATACATTTACTAAAAATCACTGAATCATACACTTGTAATGGATAAATGTTATGGTTTATAAATTATACTTCAATAAAAAGTTGATTTTTTTCATTCTTTTATTGTTATGTTAATCACCATACATTACATCATTAGTTTTTGATGTAGTGTTCCATGATTCATTGTTTGTGCATAACACCCAGCGCTCCATGCAGAACGTGCCCCCTTGAATACCCATCACCAGGCTAACCCATCCCCCTACCCTCCTCCCCTCTAGAACCCTCAGTTTGTTTCTCAGAGTCCATCGTCTCTCATGGTTCGTCTCCCCCTCTGACTTACTCCCCTTCATTCTTCCCCTCAGCTATTTTCTTCTTTTTCTTTCAATAAAAAGTTGATTTTAAAGAGTGGTAAGAAATTAAACACAAAAGAGCAGCAACAACAAATTGTGATGAGAATCTCTCTTACCTCTGCTGGATATACTGGGCATAATCTGAGGAATCATATTATTGCTTGTATCCATCGGCTGGGAATTATCTTGACCCATTTGATCATCTGGTGGCATATAGGCAGGAGGAGGAGTATCAGCTAAGAAGAAGAAAATGAGACAACTTAAAGTCCCAAAAGAATAGTTGGTATCTTCATCCTGCTTAAATGTATTCTAAAAGCATTAAAAAGGTCCTAAGATTACCAGCACGGTTTGTCACTGAACATTACAGACAAAGAAAAATGTAGGATGCTACCTGAGCCAAGAGAAAAGTAGAAAAGACAGCATACCCATTAGTTACTGAAAACCTGCTAAAGGTCTGCATGTATTCGGTCCAAACCAGGATAGTAAGATCAGTGCTAAAATTCACTAAAATAGAATTCAAGATCAAGAAGTTTGTCTTTATGTACTTACAATCATATGCTGGGAGAAACTGCAACAATTACAAACCAATCGGAAGGACACAGATTATCCTAGTTTGAGTATATCTCTACAGAGACACTTTTAAAGTATCGAGATCATCACACACTGTATGTTGATAATTAACACTGGAAATTAAAACTGTACTCCTACAAAATGTACCAACATGAACAGCGGCTAGACATCTAATTCTTTTCAACATCCTAAAATGGCTGTCATGCCCTACTAAATGATTAGGTAATTCTTAGGAAATTTGAATGTGAACTAGAAAATCTTTTGAGTTCCAGCACTCCTAGTTAAAAATCTTTGCAAAAGCTACAGCTATATTCCTGTCTCAGTAATTATAAATACCGAATATAGTATCTTTCACTCCAAGGTTTGTACAAGATATAGTGTGACACAGAACTGTAATCAGACTGAATCTAGGGCAACGGATAAAAATTAGTTTTGGAACAAATACCTAACAGCAAGTTAAACAGCTGATACTTAATTCTCCTTGAAAAAAAATAAAAAAACACATCAACTGATGCCGTAAAGAAACCAGAAACAATATACTTACATATGACTCCACCTACAACAGTAGGCATTCAAATATTTCTTGACAAACTGACATAATGATGCATCCATGTATGACATGCCATTAATGAAATCTGGGCACTTTATAAAATCTACTTATGAACTTTCTCCAGGCAAACCAGGTCATCAGTTACCTAATTAAAGATAACTGGGGTGCCTTTTAACTTTCCAGTCTATAATGATGTAACAAGAAGTAAAGTTAAAAAAGCACAGACTTTAGAGTCAGAGAAACCTAGGTCGGAAACCTCAGGCAAGGTACTTAAGCTCTTGAAGCAAGTATCAATTTCTTTCTCCACCTGTATAATCAGAGTACTATCTAGCTCACATGGTTGTTCTGAAGATTAAATTTAATGCAGTATCTTTCATCACAGTACCAGTTATGCAAGAGGTACTTAATAAATGGTACTTTGTATTATAAATTATATGAAAATATTTAAGTTAAATATGGCTGCTTCTTTTTTTAATGCCTGGAAATACATAATTTAGTTTTTTGGGCCAATAAATGATCGAATGATACCTAAATACACTTCCAGTTTTTCAGATTATGTACTCCACGTCATAGTCATCAAACACATAGTCTTTTTCTGGCTTCAGGTTTTTGATAACCTATTAGAACACTCTGCCTTTCACGCATATAGGACTCCCTACGAAACCTTTCAAGTTAGCACCATTTGGCTTCACTCTCAAGTTGCAGTGGCAGCCACTTTACATAGCTAGTTGTAAATGTGTGGATTTCTATAAGTTTACCCATTCATTTCACAAATTTTCTTGAGGGTCTACTGTATGCTTGGCTCTGATACAGGGACTGGGGATGTAGCAGTAAAAAAAGGAGGCTAAAATTCCCTTTTTCATGGAGTTTATAGTCAAGATAGGGAGAGGAGGAAAGGAAAGAATATAAATACAAACAATCTGTTGGACTATAATATAGGCTATCAAGAAAAATCAAGCAGTGAGAGAAAGAAGACAGGATGAAAAGAGAAAGTGAATTTTTTTTCATTATTCTTAAAGGATCATCTCTCTAAAACTGTTTGCTTTTTTCACAACATTCAATTAATTTCAACTAAAAAAAAAAAAAACAAAACAAAACCAGTTCATCCATTTCTCTTACTCCTTGCCTCTGGCAACTATTAACCTGTTCTCAGTATCTATGATCAGGGTTTTGGTTTTTTTTTTAGATTTCACATTTAAGAAAAATCCTGTCTTTCCCTGGCTTACTTCATTTAGCTTAATACCCCCAAGGTCAGCCATGTTGTCACAAATGACAAGATTTCATTCTTTTTTATGGCTGAATATGCCACAATTTCTTTATCCATTCATCCATCAATAGACACTTAGGTTGCTTCTGTGTCCTATTATAAATCATGCTGCAATGAACCTGGGACTGCATATGTTTTCAAGTTAGTGTTTTTGTTTTCTTCAAATAACTACCAAAAAATGGAATTTCTGGATTACGTGGCACTTCTATTTTTAATTTTCTGAGGAAATTCCATACTTTCTTTTTTTTTTAATTTAAATTCAATTATTCAACATATATTATTGGTTCCAGAGGGAGACGTCAGTGATTCATCAGCCTTATAGAATACCCAGTACTCATTTACATCACGAGCCCTCCTCAATGTCCATCAGCCAGTTTACCCCATCCCCTCAACCCCCTCCCCACCAGCAACGTTCAGTTTGGGAAACTCCATACTGTTTTTCACAGTGGCTGTACCAATCTGCATTCCCACCAACCGCATGAGGATTTCCTTTTCTCCACATCCTTGCCAACACTTGTCATTTCTAGTCTTTCTGATAATAGCTACTCTAACAAGTATAAGGTGACACATAACTCATTGTGGTTTCAATTTGTATTTCCCTGATGATTAATGATGGAGAGCACCTTTTCATGTACCTGTTGGTCATGTGTATTATGTCTTCCTGGGAAGAAGGCCTATTCAGGTCCTCTGCCCATTTTATTTTTTAAAGATTTTATTTATTTATTTGACAGAGAGAGACACAGGGAGAGAGGGAACACAAGCAGGGGGAGTGGAAGAGGGAGAAGCAGGCTTCCTGTGGAGCAGGGAGCCCGATGTGGGGCTTGATCCCAGGACCCTGGGATCATGACCTGAGCCAAAGGCAGAAGCTTAACAACTGAGCCACCCAGGTGCCCCCTCTGCCCATTTTTTAATTGGAATGTTTGCTTTTGATATTGAGCTGTATGAGTTCTTTATGTATTTTGCATATTATCCCCTCATCAGATATATGATTTTCAAATATTTTCTCCCATTCAGTAGGTTGCCTTTTCATTTTATTAATGGTTCCCTTTGTGTGCAGAAATTTTTTTGTTTGATGTAGTGAAACGTGTTTATTTTTTGCTTCTTTTGCTTTTGGGGTCAATTCAAAAAATCAACGCCAAGACCAATGTCAAGGAGCTGCCTGCCTATGTTTTCTTCTAGGAGCTTTACGGTTTTAGGTCTTATGTTCAAGTCTTTAATCCCTTTTGACTTAATTTTTGTCTATGGTGTCAGATAGTGGCCCAGCTTCATTCTTCTGCATGTGGTTGTCCAATTTTCCCAACATCATTTATTGACGAGACTCTCCTTTCCCCATTGTATATTCTTAGCTCCTCTGTCATAAATTAACTGTCCATCTAAGTGTGGGTTTATTTCTGGGCTCTCTCTTCTGCTCCACTATCTATAGGTCTGTTTGTTTTTGTTTTTGTTTTTTTTTAAAGATTTTATTTATTTATTTGACAGAGAGAGAGACAGCGAGAGAGGGAACACAAGCAGGGGGAGTGGGAGAGAGAGAGAAGCAGGTTTCCTGCCGAGGAGGGAACCCGACGTGGGGCTCGATCCCAGGACTCTGGGATCGTGACCTGAGCCAAAGGCAGACACTCAGCAACTGAGCCACCCAGGGGCCCCTATAGGTCTGTTTTAATGCCAATCCCACACTGTTTTACCTATGGTATCTTTAAAACTATGAATTAATTATACTTCAATTTTTAAAAATTTGTTTAAAAAATTACTACAGCTTTGTAATATAGTTTGAAATCAGGCAGTGTGATGCTTCCAGCTTGATTCTTCTTTCTCAAGATTGCTTTGGCTATTCTTGGGTCTTTTATGGTTGTTTACAAATTTTAGGATTGTTTTTTCTATTGCTGTGGAAAAATACAGCTACTTTCATTTTTAAAAAACATACGGTATATGGCAAAATAAAATCCAAAACTCTTCTGGAAATCAAATAATTACCAAAGAACACAGAGTCAAAAATAGCTACCTCTTAGCATTTAACAATTCACCCAGAGGGCCAGCAGTATAACAACTGCTGATTCTCAAGGGTCATTTCTTTAATCAATAAAATAAATTCTTACCTGGGAGCTGAAATGGACTTCCTGGTCCAGAACTTGCTGGGGAATTGGGATATGTGCTGCTAGCAGGGGAAGGGGGATAAGGGCTATTTGGAGATAAGGGAAAAGGAGTGTTGTTGGGCTGGTGGAAAGAATCTGGAAACGTTGCATTTTGTGGCATGTGTGGCTCGTTGTGGCTCAGGTTTCTAAACTGAACCAAAAGGCTGTGTTGTGGATTGAATTCATTGTGACGAGGCACTAATACTGGAGGTAAGACTGAAAGACAAAAATCAAAAGTCATCTGTCAGCAAAGACTAAAGCAAATATCCCATACATATTAAAGGGTAGACAGAAAGGATTCAGTAAAATTGTAAACCTATTAAAACAATTTACTTTCAGGAAGGGCGGCTTTGTAGAACCTTGAATGTATATATACATAATAACTAAACCAAAAGCACTCTAAGGATTTAGGCCTGTGTAAAGAGCTCTGGAAAACAGAAAATCCAGAAAAGATACCACTCCTGTTCTGTAGGAGAGAAGGCATATTTAAACACAATCATAACACAGAGAATTTAATGTAGTGAGAGTTCAACAGAGGTGAGCACTTCCAGCTAGCAAGAATCAAACAAAACACTTTGGAAAAGATTACAACTGATTGGACATTTAAGAACAAGGAATGCCAGGTGCAGGGATACTACAGAAGGACATGGGGAGACTCCAGGAGGGAGATAAGAAAGCACATTCACAGCTGGCCTAAGCACTGAACTAGGAGCTGATATTAGAGTGTGACGCTGAGGTCAGCTACTAAGATGCCCTGAAAGCCTCTGTTTCCAATTTTGAACATTTCATCTTTCTTAGTGTGAGACACTTCACATTTTATGTTCTTCAGTCAACTTTTCCCTAGTGAAAAAAATAACATTTCCTAGGTAGAAGTCTTCCATTCAAAATCAGTTTTCTAAACATGATCATAATGAAAATATATCCAACAAGGCCTAAATATTTTGAGACCTATTTTTTAAAAGGTTAAATTTATTCAAACATTGACAATCTCCCAAATGACCAATCACATAGAAATGTCTGACTACCCTTCCCTATAGGAAATCGAAGCCAACGTGATTTCTTTAAACTCTGTATCAGTTCAGCTCTTTTACAACCTTCCCATATCTGTCAATGTAATTTTACTTCCAAAAATCTCACTTTGACTCTCACATCATTCAGCAGCAACAAAATCAATCTGTTTTTAAGTTAACTAGGTCATACTTCCCTGCCTGAACTAGGGATGTACCTGAGGAATGAGAGGCTCTGTAAGTCAGTATTTGTACTGTTTTTTTTGTCTTTCTTTGTACTGAATCAGTGTTGTAATTATGTGGTTAACATCTGATTACAATTGTTTCCTTCTACTGTGTATGACCAACTGCTGTTCCCTTTACAGAATGATGGGACAGCTGCCATTGGAAAGTAAGGCATGAGACAATAAGAATTTCTATGTTTAGCTGGCTAGCAAGCTGAAAGACTAAATGAAATAACTAATGAGGAATTCAATCCAGCTAAGAATTCCTTTATTTTTTTTTTTTAGAGGCAGAGCTAAAATCACTGACTTCTCTCTTGTCTATTATCTATACACATCACTTTTTAAAGACTATTTTCCTCCAAAATACATAGTTTAAAAAGACAGATGCTACAAGAGATAACAGAGCAATTTCTAAGCCTCCTCCCATACTGCTTCCAGAAACAACAAATTTAAACTCTTAGCCACCTCTTCTAACACTTACTTTGTGTATTGCTAGATAATATGCTTATACTGCTATTATTAATTTGCCAAGACATCATTTGCCGATTTGCTATTGTGGCAAATGAAGTAGCTTTCTTACATCATTCTACCCACTCCCATTCCCATTCCCCTCAAAAAAGTTACATAAAAAATGTTGGTTAAATCAATATCTGATGTTTATTACATGTACAAATATTATTCATTCTTGAGCCAAGTATGTACTATGATTATATTTTTTCTTGAACAGTGCTTTAAGTAAAGCTGATTATTGACTTGTTACTTCATTTGCTTAATCTTAAGTACACACAACTAATAATTCCAGAAGTCTAACAGATCTGTTAAATTCCTATCAATACTATTTTCCAGATGCCACAAATAAATAATCTATTAACTCATTTTTTCCCCTGGGCCCTTCAATCTTCTATAATCCAGACCGGTAGCTCCTTAAGTCTCCTAGAGATCTCAAGTTCTTAGACTTCCCTTCTCTTCTCTCCTGTTGGAACCCATTTCCTGGACCTCATGCTCTATTAGTTTCCTAAGAGGGGTAAAAGGAAGGGGGCGCGCCTGGGTGGCTCAGAAGGTTAAGCATCTGCCTTCAACTCGGGTCATGGATCCCGGGGTCCTGGGATCAAGCCCCGCATCGGGCTCCCTGCTTAGAGGGAAACCTGCTTCTCCCTCTCTATCTGCCTATCCCCCTGCTGATTCCTTCCCTCTCAAATAAGAATTAAAAAAAAAAAGGGTCAGAGATAAATTTTTAGTCCTTGCATATATGAAAATATCTTGTCTTTTGTTTGTCTGCAGATTGCAGAATAAACTTTTCCTCTCTCAATTTTAGGGGCACTGCTTCACTGTCTTCTAGAATCCAGAACTGCTCTGAGAAACTCAACATTCCCACTTCCAGTCCTTTCTATATGTCCTGTCTTTTCTCTCTGGGAGCCTTCAGAATCTTTTTTAACCCTGATATACTAAAATTTCATGCATGGGTCTTTTATCCCTGATAGCACCATCACTGCCATTCTTTTAGCTAGTCTCCATACCCAATGTTATTTCCAGAGCCTTTTTACCATACCAGGCTCTTATTATCTCCATGTGAAATCCAGCATGGGAGACGTTCTCTAAGGTGGCCACCATGATTCCTGCTTCTCAGTATACACCCCTGCATAATCCTCTCCCTTTCAAGGTATTATCTCTGACTTTCTGCTCACCAATAGAACATGGCAAAGGTGATAGGATGTTATGTGATGATACAATATAAGAATATAATGCCCTTCTATCAAGAAGACCCTCTCTCTTCTTACTGTCTTTGAAGAAGTAAGCTTCCACAAATGTGAGCTACTATGAAAAAGGTGGCAAACAAATGAAGGCAGCCTCTAGTCAACAACCAGCAAGAAGAGTCCAACAGCCCACAAGGAACTGAACCCCATTAACAATCACATGAGCTGGGAAGCAGATCCTTCCCCAGCTGAGCCTTACATGAGACCCAAGCCTTGACCAACACCTTAAATATAGCCTAGCAGAGGACTCAAGCCACATCTGGACTCCTGTCCCACAGAAACTGTGAAATAATAAATGTGTATTAAGCCACTTACTTAATCTGTTATGCGGCAAAAGATAACTAATGCACCCAACTAGTATCTCAGCTTATATAATTCATTCATTAAAAAAATATTTACTGTGCACCACCTACTAAGTGCCAGATCATACTACTATTCTAGGCACTGGTGATGCACTACAGAATGAGACAGAGGAAGTTCCTGCTTGCATGAGTCAATAAATAAAATAAATATCGAACACAGCATCAAGTAGTGATGGGGGTATTTGAGCAAGGACTGAACAGAGTGAGAAAATGTACCATGAAAAGATCATGGGAGAGAGTTAGGTAGAAGAAATAAAAAAAAAGAAAGGAAGGAAGGAAGGAAGGGAGTAAGTAAGTCTAGATGCAGGAGTAGGCCAAGTCCATGGGACAGAGGAAGTCTGAAGAGAGGTTACGTAGGGTCTTTAGAAATCTGTTCTAAGTGTGATAAAAGTCTTAAGTGTTTTGAGCAGGCACAGACATGATTTGGTATATTCTTTTTTTAAAGACTGATTTATTTTAGATAAAGAGAGAGAATCTCAAGCAGACTCCCCACTGAGCACGGAGCCTGACACGGGGCTCAATTTCATGACCCTGAGATCATGACCTGAGCTGAAACCAAGAGCTGGGATACTTAACTGACTGAGCCACCCAGGCACCCCATGACTTGCTATTTTCTAAAGAGCGCTCTGGCTGCTGTGCAGAAAACAGAATGGGCTGGAGGGAAAGAAAAGAGGCAGAGAGACCAATTAGAACACTGCTTAAGGCGGAAGATGATGATGGTCTGTCCTACAATAGTGGTGTTAGAGATGGTAAAAGGGGACATTATTAAGAGAGTATTTTGAAGGTACAGCAAACAGCATTTGCTCATAGCTCAAATGAGGACTTCAAAGAGAGAAATAAAAAATAACTTCTAGGCAGCAATTACATGAATGCTGGTGCCATTTACCTCAACAGGGAAAACTGGAGGTAAAAAGGAACTGGTGGGGGAAAAAAAAAATCAAAAGCCCTATTTAGACATGTTGAATCTGGTATGTTTATGAGACATTCAAATGGAGATGTCAAGTGAGCAACTGAATACAGAAGTCTAAAACTCAAAGGAGAAGTTCACTCTGGAGTTCAAAATGTGAGCATGAGCTTACAGTTTTACATGTGACAGCATGAGAGCCCATAGAGGTAAAATATGGATGTAGAAAAGGTCTAGGGACTGAGTCACGTGAAAACAGGAAAAGAAGCCAACAAAGAGACTAAGCAAAAAGAGCCAGTGAAATAGGAGAACCAGAAGAGTGTCATGTTTCAGAAGCCAATAAAGAAAAAGTTGTGAGGGGGAGGGAAAGAAAGCATATCAAATGACGGTGAGAGGGCAAGTGAAATGAGGACTGAGAATGACCACTCCATCCAGAAGGCAGTCGCCAGTGATCTTGACAAGTCAAAGGGTAGGGAAGACAGACTAAGAGGAGGGGTGTACAGAAAGAACAGGAGGAAGGTAACATAGAGACAAAAAAATGGAGACTCCTATAAAAGGACTCAAAGACACAGTACAGCCGACTGGGGATGAGGGGATGTGAATGAAGTCGGGACCAGAATTCTTTTTTAACTTCTGTTTTAGGATGGGCAGTAGCAGGATATGCTTATGTGCTGACAGAAATGGTCTAAGAGAGAGGGAAAATGTAATCCTGGGGAGAGGGGTGGTAACTGTAGGAACAAAGTTCTTGAGTACACAAAAAGGAGTGGGATGTAGCACACATATGGAGCTTAGGTTTTATTTTTTTTTTTTTTAAAGATTTTATTTACTTATTTGACAGAGAGAGACACAGTGAGGGGGAGTGGGAGAGGGAGAAGCAGGCCTCCCGCTGAGCAGGGAGCCCAACGTGGGGCTCGATCCCAGGGCCCTGGGTTCATGACCCGAGCCGAAGGCAGGCGCTTAACGACTGAGCCACGCAGGCGCCCCTGAAACTTGGGTTTTAGATAAAACAGAGACATGTCATCCATGGGAAAGGCAGAGCATGCATACGACTGACACTGACTGATTCATATACATAGGACTGACTGCTTACAGTGAACATGAATTAGAATTAGATACTTGGGAGCTATATAAAAAGCTAAATTCAAAATCCACTATTTTTTCCAAGATTAAAATCTTTAAGAAGAAAACACAAGGCTAATACAGCCTTTTAATTACTAAATCCACTGAAATGTAAATCAGGAAGAGACAAGGTTTTGTAATTCTTCTCAAGGTAAAACCTACCTGGACTCTCCACTCTCTTATAGTGGTATGGGTTGATACAAACTTCTTTCTGCTTAGATCCAAAAGGAAATTCACAAATATCCAATGGCTTTAGCTCATGATGACTCTGCAAATCAGGCCAGCGCCAAACGCGACAATATATAACATGGGGTAAGCCTTTTCTGTGGGAAACCTGCAGGCGTCCATCTAAAGATCTGGGAATAGTGACACATTTGCTTGGCTGTCCTGGACTGCTCAAGGCTTTCTCCAGTTCTTCCATGGCACCCTTCTTCTTTTTTAGCTTTTTCACCAAAGCATCGACTGCCTTTTCTGCCCATTTCTCCTCTTCATCACCTTGCTTCCAGCCCAACAATCGCTTTACTGCTGGACTAGTAAAGGAAAACAAGCTGGCCATTGACGTCATTTGATATAAATCTTCAGAGACCTTCCTGCAACTCAAAGTCAGTGGCTACTCAAAGAACAGCTCACAGATGAAAAGTCACATACAGGTTCTAAGCAGAAGTTCCAATTAAAAAGGGAGGAGTGACATTTATCTTCATAAGTGCCATAAGATTCTTTCATTGGTTCAAGTCCTGAAAGAGAAAGAGGGAAAAGGGTAAGACCCCTAACTTAAATGAATGCAATTAACATACATCTAAATATAATTGGAAAGTATGTTATTTTTAAATAAGAGCAGAAAAGCATTACAAAGTAAAACAAAAACCTAAGTCTAGAAAGAGAAATTTTCCCTAAAGTCCTGTGACCACTTACTTCCTTTCTTCCTAACATGAACAAGTAACTCACTGGCAATGCCAAATAACCACCAAAAGCAAAAACAGATTGCTCTACCTCCTCTCCTCTGTACTTTCCTAACAAGCCTCTAGACTTTCATTTCCTTTCCTTAGGCCAATAAGCCCCCAAATGCCCTTCTAAGGTTTGATTCTGAAACCCTTCACTGAAACCCTCTTCACTGAAACCCATGTCACATGCCCTGTCAATTTTGAACACAGTATGTCCTCTAATGTCAACACAGTCTTCAGAGAAATCTAACTCTTTCCTAAGGTCATTATTCTCCGTAAAGTGTTTCGCAAACTTACAAGGTTTGGACAAAAGCTATAGTCCTATTTAAGTCACATTAGTAGATGCAAATTTTATCAAATTTTATATTAGGTTTTTCATAAGAGATAACAAATCCTCAGATAAATCATAACACACATAACTGCCAGAAAAATGGGAAGTATCTATTTGTAAAACTAAAAATGCTGAATAGATTTAAAGAGAATAAATTCAAAGTTTAACCCAGAAAAGGATAGTTTAATTTTATAATTGCTATTGCCTTCTGTGGTATTTTAGGCATGTTAAGTTAAAGAACCTGCTCTAGGCAGACCACCCCACTGCACCCTTACAAAGCTCTTGGAGATGATGACAAGAGGAAGTGATGTGCAGAGGCACTGCACTGATAAGAACGGGTACAATTCCCTGTGGTCACTACACAGCCAACTACAGACAATGAGCGGCTAGTGAAACAGCAGGAGTAATGTTTGGAAAAAGGATGTCAGTAACAAATTAGAAGCCAAGAGGCTTCTTTTCTTGGGCCTAAAATTGCAAATAATGCTGCAGCTCTGCCTTTGACAAATTTCTACCAAACTCTGGCATCAAGACCATTCTGGATTGGGATCCATCTTCCCAGAAAAGAATACTTGTGTTCAGTTAAAATCCAGATAAACATAAATTAAAATAAAACTGAGTTAAATTCAACAAATAAGAATTAATTGCTTGCTATGTGCCATACATTGTGAACTGCCATGATGGTGCTTTAAAAAAAAAAAAGTCACACCAAATGATGCTTCATGTTAAGAGCCAACTGATTCATTCATTCAACATACACTTACTGAGACCTAGTAAATGCCAAGCACTGTTCTGGATGCTGATCAACCAGCTCTGGCTATCCAGACTGCTATGAACCATGGTTAGAACCTAGAACCAAGGGTGCAAAGGTGCACAGAAGTAAAGTAATACTCCTTCTGTGTGGATGGATTTCCAACGCTACATGGGATAATTTTTGTCAGGTAGGCAAAACTGGCTACATTAAACTAAAGAAAATAAGTAAAGACTGAAAGTGTATTTGTCAGTAACAGGTCACAGACTGTGGAGTGTTATGTGCTAAAAGAGCTGAGCTCAGCTGTAGCTACATCAAGGACATAGGATAAAAGCCATCTGGACCAGAGAGTAAAGGTAACAAAGTAAACCAAAATATCACTGGCTTGTCTAAGACAAGAGAAATTTCAAAGGCACAGGGACACAAACAACAACAACAAAATATGTGGGCAGACATGAATAGAGCATTTCCTAAAATAGAGAATAGATAGGTCTGGCTAACTGAGCACTGGAACATAATGGAGACCAGACGGGGTAGTGCATGTGTGTGGGAGAGAGAATATATGAACAATGGAGAGATTAAGCTGAGGAAAGGGACAAGAGGAGAGAAGCTCGAAGACCAGACACTAGATGGTAGTTAACCACTAGACAGTGCTTAATGTTAACTATTAATCTCACTATCCTCATCGTCATCATCATCATCAAGTACTAACCATATTATACATTAACCAAAAAAAAAAGGCGGGGGGAGTTATTTCTGTGTATACACAAAGAACAAGGACTAGAAGGCTACATACTAAATTCATCATGCAGTTACCTTTGGGGAGAGGCATGGAATGGGGGAGAGGCATGGAATGGGGGAAAGGCGAGAGAAAGGGGTCCTGTGATTTGTTTTATATATTTCTGTATTATTTTAACCTTTTCACAAAGGGAATCTATTAATGCATTACTTGCATAATACTAAAATAAAAATAGTAAATAACCTAAAACAAATTGTGAATAGAACGGAGTTATGAGTGCCAGTACAATGAGGAGGTAAGACTAATGTATGCTATCTTAGAGGTCAGGATGGTGGTTTCCCTTTGAAAGGAAGGGTATTAACTAGAAGGAAAACTGAGTTTCTGCCATCCTGGTAAAGTCCTGCTTCTCCTCTGGGTAATTATATGGGAGAGCTCAGTTTGTGAAAATCCAGCTGGTGGGATACTTAAGATGTGTTCACACTTCTGTATGATTTTAAAAAAATTTCTGGATATACAAAAAAGCATAGAGTGCTCAGTTTCCTTCCCATTTTTCTCCCCATCATCAACCAATTCCCCTTCTCACAGGTAATCCCTCTGTATTTGTCTTTCATGTCCCTACGGACAAATTTAACACAAATACAAACAAATACAAATATATACATAAAACCTTTTTTTACATAGTGGTATTCTAAAAAGAAAAAGGTACAGAAAAACATATGTACCATATATGCTCAAGATCTTCCCATTCCAATATAGAAAGTGCTTCCACATTCTTTTTTCTACTACACAGAATTCTAGTATAAAAGCAATCTTGCAAGCATGTCAAACTATGTCATTCCTCTGCTCAAAAATTGTTCAGTGGTTTCCCATTACACTCACATCTAAGTTCCTTAACATCACTTTATAGGGCCTACATGAGCTGGCCTTTGGCTTTCCATCAAAGTCATTTCTTACCATTCTCCTACCTAACTTTGCACTTAACCACTCCTTTCCATTTCTCAAGTGCTCCAAGGTCATTTCTACCTTAAGGCCTTTGCACTTGATGTTTCCTCCCCTGCATTCTCCCTGATCTTATTTAACATGCTACTCTTTCAATTAATTCAGCTGCTCAAATGTCACTTCTTGAAAAAGTACTTCCCTGGCCACTTTATCTAAAACAGCATACATCACACTCCCGCATCATTCTCTCCTCCCTGATCCTGCTCACTTTTCTTTCATGGTGTTTATCCTAACCTGATCAACTATCAATTTTATTTACTTATTATAGGTCTTCCTCACTGACATGTTAGTAGGCAGGTAGCTTCATCTTCCTTATCCATCATCAAATTCCCCTGGACTGAGAACAGTGCCTATTTATTAAGTGAGTGAGCAAGGAAGTAGTGAATGAGTGAACTAAAGAAAAGCAACTTGGAAAAATATACATTCCTTTACCAGAGCAACCTAGTATAAAAGTTAAAACAAAATATTGTATTTATGGATATGCACAGATATGGTAAGAGAATAAAAGCATGGATAAAAATGATACATACCAACCTCAGGACAATGAGTACTGGTTTCAACTGCTAAAAGGAAAGAAGGATGAAGAATGGAAAAAGCTTCAGTATTTTAAAACCAGATTTTAAAAAATTGGCAAGTCATCAGATGTTATATTCTCTCTTCTTATGTTAGAATATTTCATAACTCAAAATATTCAAAATTTTTAATTTTTAAAAAGTAGTGTGATAAAACAGAAAATGATCAGATTCTGTCCTTTACAAGATATAAAACCAAAACCAGGTATCACTCTAAGTCTACTAATTCTTCTGTAAAAAAGGGGTGACGGTTCTTAAGTGACTAAAAAATTGAAGTAATAAAATATGTTAGGGGTGCCTGGGTGGCTAAGTCAGTTAAACAACCAACTCTTGGTTTCAAAGCTCAGGTCATGATCTCAGGGTCATGAGATAGAGACCCAGGTCGGGCTCCACACTGAGCACGGAGCCTACTTAAGATTCTCTCTCCCTCTCCCTCTGCCCCATCCCACCTGCTCACATGCACATTCTCTTTCTCACTCTAAAATAAATAAAATCTTTTAAAAAATAATAAAATATACGTGCACATATGTGTCAACACACACACGACAGATGCTTTATAAACTAAAAAGTGCTATTCAAACATGAATTATGAGATTTAGTATTCAAAGGAAAAAGAATCAAGACTCAAAAAAATGGCTGGATCTGGAGCACCTGGGTGGGTTAAGCACCCAGCTCTTGATTTTGGCTCAGGTCCTGATCTCAGGGTTGTGGAATCAAGCCCTGCATCGGGCTCCACACTGGGCATGGAGCCTGCTTAACATTCTCGCTTTCTCTCCCACTCCCTTTCTTTAAAAAAAAAAAAAAAAAAAAGGCTGGATCTAGTACCAACCTAACATAACATATACCACTATACCACTATACACACTTTCTGATCCAGCCCAAATTCCTGTACTTTTGCCCATCCAAGAGAAATCTGAAGTCATTCTTAATGATAAGCTCAAGGCCACTCCCTCTGGTGAAGAATTCCTTCACCACCTGATTCTAAAGAGGCTATGGTCACTGAATATCATAAAAATTAATAAAACAGTGATAAGAACATATCTTAACTTTCCAAACGGAATACAAAATCTTTCCAGGAGGAAGCCTTCAGCACCTGGCACCATTCCATTCATCATACCACATATTAAAGGAGCATTTAATGAATGGTCATTGATTTTTCTATCAACTGTACCTTGAAATTAAAGATAACTTCAAATTTTAACCCAGGTGACTAAGATAATGATAACTCCATTTGCAGAAATAAGGACACTCAGAAAGTAGTTTAGTCAGTAGAGACGATGGCAAACTCTACTGGAAAAAGGTCATGACTGGAGATACAGGTTTAGCAAGGAATAGATGAGAAAGAAACTTAAGATTTGCACAAAGAGCTGAAACAGTAATAAAAAGTGGGTTTTCAACAGAAAG